GGCAAGAAAGTCTTATCTCCAATAAACCACCAGAAAACTGGAAGTGGCGCTGTAACTCAAGTGGTGGAAGGCTAGCCTTGAGCTGAAGAGCTGAGGGACAGCGCTCAGGTCCAGAGTTCAAGCCTCATGACTGACCAAAAACAACAACAACAACAAAAAAAGAATCTCATAGACTTTGTTGCCTAGGCTGGCTTTGAACTGTGAGCCTCAGATCTCAGCCTACTGAGTAGCTAGGATTACAGGTGTGAATCACCAGTGCCTGGCCATGCAGTTGTTTTTAAGTAGTGATTTATGCTTGCATTTTTTCTTCCAAAAATCTTTTGTGTGAAAGGAGTCTGGAACACTTGTGTCTGGGCTATTTTCCTCTCCTGAAGACATTTAGGTCTGTGGTTTTCTTTGGGAAGACAACCATATATGCTTTCAATAATTTACCAGAATTTTTATGAACCTTTTTCATTTTGCCTTTTTTTTGAATTTGCTTTCTTTCTTTAAAAACAAACAAACATTTAAGTAGTTGTATAAAAGGGTTTCAATTCAGCAAATCATTCTATAAATATAATACATCTCTTTCTCTTTAAAAAGTATCTTTTTGGGTCAGGCACTGGTGCCTTCAGTCCTAGCTACAGGGGTCTGAGATCTAAGGATTGCAGTTTGGTTTGAAGCCAACCTGGGTAAGAAAGTCCCTGAGAGTCTTATCTTGAATTAACTACCCAAAAAGCCAGAAGTAAAGGTGTGGCTCAGTGCTGGAGTGATAGCCTTGAGCACAGAGCTCATAGACAGTGCCCAGGCCCTGAGTTCAAGCTTTAGGACTGGCACCAAAAAAAAGTAGCTTTTTGGCCCTAGGCAGTGGTTTAAGTGGCAGAACATTTTCCTAGCAAGCAGAAGGCCTCAGAAGAAAACCTGCTTGCTAACACTGTGATCTTGCAATGACAACTTTGTCTTGCAAGGCCATCTTATCACTATTTTTTCATGGCCTTTTCTCTGTGTACACACTCATCTCTGGTGTTTCTTCAGAGTGACCAGATTCCTTCTTCTCATAAGGACTCTAGTCAGATTAGATTAGGACCCACTCCAATGTTATTATTTTAACTTAATCAACTCTTTAAAAGTCTCATTTCCAAAGTATTCTGAGGCACTGAGCATTTGTATCTAGTGGAGGGTACACAATTTTGCTACTTAAAATTCCTAGAGACAAGCCAGATTGAAAGCCAGAGAAAATACATACATGTGTAAATTTTATATGTTGAAAACAGAAGTAAACTTGTCTATTTTTAGACAGCTATGGTTTTCTTCCCTATGAAAAGTTAGGTCAGTTTTCTATACTACTTCTTCACTTGTGTAAGGGCTTTATAGTGGTGTAAAGACTAGAATAGGAAATGTACGCATTATCCTGCCCATGCAATTGTAACCCCTCTGTACAGTATGTTCACAAATAAAATAAAATTAAAAAAAAGACTAGAATAGGCCACTCAGAAAGAGGAATAAGGCATATGGAATAATAGAAGACCCTGAATAGCAAAATCAATCCTTAGCTGGAAGAACAGCACTGGAGGAATATAAATACCAAGCTTCAAACTGTAATACACAGCTGTAGTAATAAAAACAGCATGGTACTGGCACAGGAATAGGCCTGTGGACCAATGGAATAGAATTGAAGACCCAGAAACGAACCCACAATCCTATAGACACCTAATATTTTATAAGTGAGCCAGAAACACAAGATGGAAAAAAGACAGCCTCTTCAACAAATGGTGCTGGTAGAATTGGCTATACATGCACACAAAACTGAAGATAAAAAAATATATCTATATCTATCACCATGTACCAGAATCAACTCCAAATGTATCAAAGACCTCAAAGTAAGACCAGATATCCTGACAATGTTACAGAAAGGGATAAAGGAAACACTAGGGATCCTTGGCACAGGTCAAAACTTCCTAAGAAAACATTCAGAATCACAAGTCAAAGAAAGACTGCATAAATGGGATTGCATCAAACTGAAGAGTTTCTGCATGGGAAAGGACATAACCAGCAAGATACTAGCTATGCATCAGACAAGGGCCTCATATCTAATATATACTCAGCTCAAAAAATGAAAACTCACTAAAATCCTCAAAGACACAACCACCTAACTAATAAATGAGCTAAAGACTTAAAGAGAGATTTCTCAGAAGAAGTAAGAATGGCCAAAAGACATATGAAGAGATATTTGACATTTCTGGCCATAAAAGAAATTCAAATCAAAACAACATTGAGATTACACCTCACCTGTTAGAATAGTCAGTATCAAGAAAACTAACAATAACAGATGCTGGCAGGGAAGTGGCAAAAGGGAACACTACTATACTGTTGGTGGGAATGTAAACTTGTTCGACTACTCTGGAAAGCAGTATGGACGTTCCTCAAAAGAGAGGACCTCAAAAGATAGCTTCCCTATGACCCAGCAATCCCACTCTTGGGCATCTATCCAATTGATCACAAACCAGGCTACACTAGAGCAACAGCACCACCATGTTCACTGCAGCATTTACCATAGCGAAGATAGGGAATCAACCTAAATGCCTTTTAGTGGACAAATGGATCAAGAAAATGTGGCATATATACACAATAGAATTCTATGCTTCTATCAGAAAGAATGACATTGCCCCATTCATAAGGAAATTGAAAGACTTGGAAAATAGTATACTAAGCAAAGTAAGCCAGACCCAAAGAAACATAGGCTGAATCATTTTCCTCATTTGTAATAACTTATAAATCTACAAGTAACCTCAATGGAGAGTAAAAGACAAATAATTACACCTGGACATAATTAATAAAAGAACAATATAAACATTCACTCAATGAGAACAAAGGAGGATATTCTTAGGAGAGGATCACAAGGGCTAAATAGCTATGTGCATAAGTCATGTAAAAGGATGCTTATCAAAATGAACTCCAAGAAATGGAAGCAAGAAGTTCTTTTTTTTTTAATTATACAGTTTGTGGTTCTTTTTTTCTTTTTCTTTCTTCTTTCCTTTTACCTTTGGCTTATTCTCTTTTGATTTTGGTACCCTTTGTCTTGTATATAAATTTATCTGATTTGAGGAGGGGAAGGGGAAGCCCAGAAACAGTGGGACAAAGGGTGAACCAATTCAGCAGTGAAACCCACTAGACACTATGTTGGAAATGAACTATTCAACTTTAGCAGGAGGGAAATTGGGAAGGGAAAAACTGGGAGAGAATGAGGGAAGGGATGACACTGTTCAAAAGGAAATGTACTCATTACCTGAATCATGTAACTGTAACCTTTTTTGCACATCACCTTTACAATAAAATTTAAAAAAATAAAGCATTATCCTAGAAAAAATAAATGGAACCATAAAGCCTTAATGACAGAAAAAGAAAGAAAGAAGAATAAGAATTAAATCAAGATGTGCCATTCTGACTACTCAGGAAGCTGAGATCTTGAGGATATGGTTTTGAGGCTAGCCCTGGCAGAAAAATTCAGTAGACTCAATCTCCAAAGTAACCAACAAAAGCCAGGGTTAGAGATATGGTTCAAGTAGAAGAACAACAGCCTAGTAAGCTCAAGGCCCTCCTACTCCACCCAAATAATTAAATCAGGATGAAAAGTGAATATTAGAGAAATTATGATGAATTATTTTAGTTATTAGGACCAAAAAGGAAATCTATACTTTTCTGAGCATGAGAATCATTTATTTACATTAAAATTATTATTCAAGCTGAATGCTGATGGCTTATTTCTGTAATCCTAGCAAGTATGGAGACTGAGATCTGATGATTGAGGACAGTCCATGAGACTCTTTTTTTTTGGGGGGGGGTCTAGTTGTGAGGCCTGAACTCAGGGCCTGGGCGCTGTCCCTCAGCTCTTCAGCTCAAGGCTAGTGCTCTACCACTTGAGCCACAGAGCCACTTCTGGCTTTTTTTTCTGCTTATGTGGTGCTGAGGAATAGAACCCAGGGCCTCATGCATGCAAGGCAAGCACTCTACCACTGAGCTACCTTCTCAGCCCCCCATGAAACTCTTATCTCCAATTAAGTAACAAAAAAAATTGCAAGTGGAGCTGTGGTTCAAGTGGTAGAGTGAGTACCTAGTCTCGAATAAAAAAAGCTAAGGGATACTACCTAGGCCCTCAGTTTGAGCCCCAGTATTGTACAGGCACACAAAAATATTCACTAGAAAAAGATCAAGAAGTGGAGCTATGGCTCAAATGGAAGAGTGCTAGCTTTGAGTAAAAAGGTCAGGGACAGAGCCCTGGCACTGGGTTCAAGCCCCAGGACTGGCATAAAAAAGGAAAAAAATCAAAATGCCTTTGTCTTCTATACCATCCTTTTACCACATCACCTTGTACATGCCTGCATTACTCTGCAGGTGTGCACTCTGAACCTCTCTGTTCCACTCTGGTCACTAGATTCTGTATCTGGAAGATTATTCAATCCTGATACCATTCATGCCTTGTTCTAGCCTCAAACTCCCCCCTCTAGCCCTGAGCATTACCATAGTCCTTACAATGATGAATAAACCATTTCTTGAAGATAGGGTCTTATTTTTGTTGTTGTGTGTCTCAAGAGACAGGATTGTGCCTTCATGCCAATGCTTCTCAGGACAGACCTTAACCCATGATGGAAAGAACTCAGAATACATCTCATGAGGGTGACAACTGTTCTTGTTTGCGAGGGACCTAAGGGTTTCCTGGAATGCAGATCTTTTAGTTCTAAAGCCTGCAACCCTGGGAAACTGAGATGGTGCACCTAGTTCCTAGTTCTCTTGGGTTAGCTCTGGAATTGGAAAAAGTTGCTCAGAGTTCCTCAGCAGGATCAAACTGGAGATTCCACAGAGGTAATCTGTTTGATCATGTACCACTCTTGGGGTATCTTCTCTTTCATGTACTTTCCATTCTTCTAACACTTCCCTTTACTTCCCCCAAATGACTAGCCTTGTAGTATGCTTCTGAAGGTAGCCAGTCCAAGATAATTACTGTTTCTTGGTCATTTTATTAGCTGGTGTGGAGGTTTGAAATGAATGTGTGGACTGAGCGACAGTTATTTCAGATTTCAGACAGTCATTTCAACACTGGTGTTGCTGATGTTGTTAAAATGACACAGGTTGCCACCACACCTTTGGGCAGGTAAGCCTGTCCAGGATGAACTAGTGGGCAAGAGAAGGCAAGGGTAGAGGCCTTGTGAAAGCTTTTGGAATCCAAAAGGAGTGGCTGGACTTTATCTAGAGCTCAATGAGATATATTGAAGGAAGCAACTTGCTTGTTAGATGCACTAAGTTTAGCATCTCCGATGAGAAGGTGATTGCTATGGCTTTAGATGGGGACCTGAGAGCAGAGATTATTGCAGCAGGCAGAGGAAAGTCAGAAACAAGATTTAAGAAGAAACAAGTTCAGGGCTGGGAAGGTGGCTCAGTGGTAGAGTGCTTGCCTTGCATGCCTGAGGCCCTGGGTTCGATTCCTCAGCACCACATAAGCAAAA